CATCTAAGTGCAACACCTTACCAGCATGGAGGTGGATAAATAGAAATTCTTGCATGTCAGTTACATATTATTGTATTTTTTACATATTAGAAATTAGTAACACTCCTATGGAGGGCAATTGCATAATTTCTGATGAGACTGGATGTGTTCAGGGTAGTATGGCCCTAGATAAATTGCATAATTCCTATCAGAAATGCAAATGCATATTTTTTAAACTTTAAAAAAAATTATATTTAGACAGGGCTTTGCTAATTTTCTAATTTGTTAAGGCAAGGCTTGAACTTGAAATCCTCCTATTTTAGATGCCCAGAGTGTTAGGACTACAAGCACACAGCACCATGCCAGGCTAAATGTGTATATTTTTAATACATCAATTAGATACAATTCCTTAAGATATATATATGCAAATTAACACAAGATATGTGAATTTTTTTGGTTTCTTTCTATTTTTTCATGTTTTTTGGTGGGGGGGACAAAGTCTTGCTGTGCAGTTATGCTGGTTTTGAATTCACCATATAGTCTAGGCTGGCCTGAAACTTGTCATGATCCTGCTGCCTCAGCTTCCTGAATGCTGCAGCTACAGCCATTCACGATCAAACCGGGATAGCACAAGGTATACTGTTGAAACACTTTAAAATATAAAAGATGGGGCTGGGGATTTAGCTCAGGAGCACAGCACCTGCCTGGCAAGCGCAAGGTTGTGAGTTCGATTCCCAGTACTGGAAAAAAAATAGAAACAAAAATAAAATAAAATATAAAAGATTCAAAACACATCAAATAGCTTTTAACTGGGTACTGATTGAATAGAATATGATACAACTTGCAACTGAATATTATTCAGGTAAAAAGAAAAGGAAAAACATTTTTATGTAATTGACATGAGAAAAGTTCTATGATAGACTGGTAATTAGAGAAAGCCATTGTTTAAATATGCTAGTATTTATGCATAAAATGGGGCAAATATATATATATATATTAGTATTATGAGAATGTTTAAAACAGTAATACTTGGCTAAAGGAGAGCAGGACAGCAAGAAATTCAAGGGGAGGCCAGAGACGGGAAGGAAATTGTTCAACATATTGCTTTTTAAAACTTTGGGTTTTTGCCGGGCTTGTGGGTGCACGCCTGTAATCCCAGAGTTTGGGAGGCTGAGGCAGGACTGTTGCAAGTTTGAGACCAGCCTGGGCTACAAAGTGAGCCCAAATCCAGCCTGAACTGCACAGCAAGCCCTTGTCTTAAAAAGACAAAAACAAAACAGAACAAAAAAAACCTTTGGGTTTTTGAACAATAATATTACCTGCTGAAAAAAATTCCATCAAACGTTAGGTAAACATTTTTCCTATGTAAATTATTTAAAAGTAAGACTTTTATAGCATGAAATGATTTTGTAAGTGTGTTTTTGCCAATTTCTTATTTAGTTGGATCATAGTGATAGCAAATATATTTCAAGTAACAACATTAATTGCTGTCTCATTTAACTTTATTTTAGATGTTGTAAGCCTGATTCAACACACCTCTTCAAAAACTTAGAATTTTTTTTCAAATAACTGATGCAAACACCTCACAAATACACCTACAAATGTCTGAGTAATGTCAATAACTAGCAAGGTAGGTATGGAAGTGCGCAGTCAGAGTAACATTTACACACTGGACACAGTAAGAAACATACCGTTATCAAAAACCAAAACAAAACAAAGCAACCATGAACAAACTGCCCGCTCATGTTTGAATTCCAGGTCAGGGGTGCCAGAAACGGGAGAGACTAAGGTATGCCAGGGGAATGGGTTGAAATGGGAAAATCTCTGTCCCTGTTATTCAATGTTGCTGTGAACTTAAAACTACTATAAAAAATTAGGTTTATGTTAAGAAAAAAAAGAATTCCAAGGCAAAAAGGAGGCACACCCGGGGGTGAGGACTGGATGCTTCCCGCAGCTGTAACCTGCGAGGCTATCGCGTGGGTCACATAGGAATCGCTGCAGTAGCACTTGCATTTAACTGTAACATACAGTTTAGCGCACTTGTAATTTAACAAAGTTTCCAAATAGCTTGAATATATTTAATCTCTTTTGGCATTAAGGCAGGTACAGGAAAATAAATAAGGAAATAGGTGTTATACATGCCTAAACAGCGCATCGTTATAAAGGCATTGAGGTTAATTTTTAGAAAATATTGTGCTGTCTCAATACCCTATCACAAGGTTTAAACTTGTCACACAACATATCCCCAAATAATTGATTCTTGTTCACATATAAAGAGATGGTGTACATTTGAACAATGCTATATTTACTGAAAACAAAAGAAAGAGTACTTTTACAAAAGTAAAAGAAATTAGAACTTCTGCTCTTGAAAAATTGGTAGATCTTTTGCAAAACAGAAGGGAACAAAGCAATGGAGGGAAGGGGAAGGAAAACAAAAAGAGGATTAAGATGCGTGATGAACGTAATCACTGTGTACTGCAAGCGTGAGCTGCTCTTTGGAGAAAAGTCACGTGTCGCTGTTGCTGTAGCCCAGTGCTGAAGGGCACAGGACTTTGTAGTAAGACACAACTAGTTCAAATCCACTGTGTATGTGACCTGGGGTCAGCTTTTCATGGGAACTGTATCTTATCACCCAATGGATTCCTCTTGGGGTTTTTAAAATAATACATGTAAAGAGATTGGCACAGACATCTACTTAAACTCAGTGAAAGAGGACTATTTTCATCTGAATCTTCTGTTCTTTAATGGTCTCTCCATATTCTTATACATTCTATGTTTAAAGAGAAAATAAAACTAAGGACTCAAGATATGCAGAAAAATAGGGAGGTCAATGGTTTCTGAGGAACAATGCGTGGGAGAAAAAACAATGTCTCCTAGTTAGAGCACATCTCACCAAAGGAACCCATGGAAGTGTAGAAGCTCTATGCAAGAAATCAGTGGGTCAGGGTGGGTGTGGTAGCACAAGACTTTAACCCAAGCACACAGGAGGCAGGGACGGGAGGACTGCCATGAGTTCTAGGCTAGCCTGGGCTACATAGCAAAACTGTCTCAAAAAAAAAGGAATCCTGTGAATTACTAGTTCTCATTCCTTGTGAACATGCAAACACTTCTAGAAGGAGAGTAATCCATTAACATTTAGAATCACACTTTAAACAAATGTTACTTTAATAGGTAGCCACATGATGCATCTCAGAGAACAGTTTCTGCTGGTGAAACAGAATCCTGATGTGCCATTTCAGGCATGGAATGTCTTTAGGGCAAGTTTGCATGTGTCAGGAATGAGACAGCAAAACTTTCCTGAAAAAGAAAAGAACAAAGATTTGAAGGGCTAGGGACAAGAGCTAAACACACATTAAAAGAGCAGACTTGGAGGTCAGAGGAAAGGCAATGTCAGGTCTTCCCTTTCGGCCAAAGAAGACTGCAACTCTCTGGTGGCTAGAATAGCCAAGGGCTATTGGAAATAGAAATATCTGAAATTAAGTAAAAGAAAGATAGCCTTTTTAATAAGGGATGCTGGAAAAAGTGGCTTTCTACGTAATGAAAACTGAACCTAAACCCATATCTCTCCCCATGCACTAAATTAAAATCTAAAAGGACCAGAGATCTAACTATTAAAACACAAGCACTAAATCTAAACACTAATTTATATACAATGGAGTATAACTCTGCCTAAAAGAAGGATAAACGAGTCATTTGTAAGAGAATGGATGCATCTCAAGGCCATAACTTTAAGTGAAATAAATTGGACACAAAAGTTTAAATAACACATTGTTTCTCTTGTGTGAGAAACCCAAAGAGTAAACAAGAAGCAAACCGGAAGACAGATGTTGGGAAACAGGAAGAACACGCTGAAATGGGAAGGGGACAGGAAAGGGGAAGGGAAAGGAAGGAAAGGAGAAAACATAAGTGAAGGGAAGGAAAAAATGGAAGCAAAGCTTTTGTAAATAAAGAAGGGAAAAAGGATTGAAGGGAGGGGAGGAGAATGGGGGAAAAGACTCAAGGTATACGGTGTGCTACCCAAGAAGTCAAAGAGAAAAACACCCACGCCTCCGGAAAGGCGGCCAGCCAACAGCTCTTTGTATGTGGGGAAGGGAACAATATTGCCTGGAGACTGTGAAAATTTATAATTTTAAAAATTTAATGATGACCATCATAGCTTGTACAGGAGGTTTGTCTGTCTGTCTGTCTGTTTGTTTGTTTGTTTGATTACAAACTTAATCCAGGGCTTTCTCACTGAGCTATGTCTCCAGGCTTTTTTTAAAATTTTGGGACAGGTCTCACTAAGATCCCCAGGCTTGGCTCAAACTTGTGATCCTCCTGTCCCGTCCTCCTGAGTAGGTAGGATCCCACCTAAGGGAAGGGTGTGTCATCCTGAGTCACAATGGGAATCTTTACAATAAAGATTTTCCAATTAAAATATATATATACAGAGTCTACTTCCCCGCCCGCCCAACGGCCTCACCACCGCCTCCCTCACTCCCTGAGCTCGCTGAGCGTGGAGGCCCGGGGAGACCGGAGAGGAAGGGAGGGAGGGCGGGCGAGGGGCACACCGAGCGTCTCTATATGGCGGCAGCTCTGTCGGGCCTGGCTGTCCGGCTCTCGCGTTCAGCCCCCTGCGCGCTTTTGTGGGGTCTTCTGCCGGGGGCTGACCCGCACGCTGCTCATCTTCTCCGACCTGGCCTGGCGGCTGCGCATCAACTTCCCCTACCTCTACATCGTGGCTTCCATGATGCTCGACGTGTGCCTGCAGTTTCATACTGAGATCCACTGAGGCCCGTCCCCTCGCTACAGAGGTGTCACCCCAGGCTCCTCACCGCAGAGCATGAGGGACAGAAGAGGACACTCAACACCTGCATGGCCAGAGCGAGCGGAAGGGAGGGGAGGACTGGGACAGACTGTCACACAGCCTCAAGAGGAGCACACAGAAGGGGAGCCCTCGGCCTGCAGACTCCCCTTCCTGGCTGAACACGCCTGAAGTTGACGGAAATGGAAACGCACAGAGCGAGGTGCTGTCCTCAGAGATGAAAGATGGGCTGAGTGAGGCTGGCCTCCTGCTTCCCACCGGTGACAGGGCGTTTCTGTATTTGAAGGGATCCGTGGGAAGAAATTCAGCCCCGGCAGCAGTCCCCAGCAAGGCTGTGGGTCTGTGTCCAGTCCCTGTATCTGTCCCTGTGGGAGAGTGCCTTGCTGCGCTGTCCCCCGGCATCAGGGAAGCTCTGCAGAGGAACTGGCCAGAAAGAGGCCCTGGAGCCGTGGGCGGCCACAGAGGACAGTGCTCCAGTGGAGAGCCCTGGGTGTCAGCGTGGCCAGGCCAATGCCAACTGTGGGAAGTGGGAGTCTCCAAGGGTGAACCAGTGAGGGGTTTTCCCGAGTGGCCAGGCTCCCAGTTAGAACTGTCCTGCCTGAATCCCTTGCTGCCTGATTCGCTGCACGCCCTTCCTCAAAACCTCCTGAAGGATGAGACAAGATGTGACCGCCGCAACCAGCTAAAGCCTGTGCTTTCAGAGCAGACGACAAAATACAGGGACATGCTCTCAAGAATAAATTGTACATCAGATGGTCTGCAGATAACTCTGGGGTTGTTGGCTCTATGACCTTAGCAAATCCAGGAGGCCATAGTTAAGGTACAAGCAGAACAATAAAAATAGTAGCTTAATTTTAAAATTTGTTTTAGAATTGTTTTCTGCATTAGGTCTGCATACAAACAAATAGTGCAGCCATTCAGTTCCTGCTTCGTTTGTACAGTTAGACAAACTTTATGAAGTACAAGTCTAGTATAAAGTTGCTAAAAGCTAGGTAATGTAGCAGGAACTTTTTGAGCATGTTTTAAATTGTGCTTCAGAGAGAATAAAGAATCGGGAAGCCCTTTCAGAAGGTTATTGATGTATGCAGTATAATATCAGCTGGGAACATGGCTTACCACGTTAGGGTTGTTTAGGGTTAGGGTTAGGGTTAGGGTTAGGGTTAGTGTCAGACAGGGAAGAGG